CTTTTCCCTGGCTCTCCCTGTGCTCCGGCTGCTCCTCACACGCTGCCCGTGTTTTCCCTGCCCTCTCTTCCAGGTGCACCTCCATCCCGCAGACATGTCCTGCTTCGATCTGTGCCGTCCCTGCGGACCAACCCCCCTGGCCAACAGCTGCAACGAGCCCTGTGTGAGGCAGTGCCAGGACTCCCGCGTGGTCATCCAGCCCTCTCCCGTGGTGGTCACCCTGCCCGGCCCCATCCTCAGCTCCTTCCCGCAGAACACCGCCGTGGGATCCAGCACCTCCGCTGCTGTTGGCAGCATCCTGAGTGAGGAGGGAGTCCCCATCTCCTCCGGGGGCTTTAGCCTCTCTGGCCTGGGTGGCCGCAGCTTTGGAAGGAGGTGCCTGCCCTACTAAATTGTGTGTGGACGGCCCGTGAGCCCCTCAAGCAGGAACCCCAAAGCAGGGGGTGCTGGGCTGAGGACGCAGCTGCTGGCCACAGTTTCCCCATGGGATGAGCATCCTTGTGTCCTCCTGCAAAGGAGGCAGGCAAGCAAGGCTGCCCGCCTGTGATGCCTGGAAACATGGCCAATGGATGTGCTCTTCTTCTCCCACTTTCTTCTCTTCATCATGAGTCCTAGATGTCTCCTGCTGCCCTGTGCCATGGGCTCATCCTGAAGCAAGGCTCGCAGGGCCCTGCTCTCAGCCCCTGGCCCTCTGGCACGGGTGGAAGATGTGTGCTCAAGGGGTGTCTGTCTTGGACCGGCCTCGCTGTTCCTGAGACGGCCTCCCTTCCACCATGTGCTGCTTTGTTTCACTCTTTTGACTCATTAAAGTGTTGTTGCATCCTAATATGAGTCTTCTCGTGTTCCTTCCTCCTCTCTTGGGTTGTCCTCCCAAACTCCCCTGGGCAATATGTGATGCTGGGGAGGGTTTTGAGATGTGCTGAGTGAGGTGGACCTCCTTCCTTGCTTGCTTCCTGGACGATTGGGAGCAGGGGGAGAAAGGGTGACTGTCCTCTGTACGTGATGTAGACTTCCCAAACTCTCCAGCTCCCTTGATCATCAACTCCAGTTTGACTGTTTCTCCCAGGAAATCTTTGCTTAGCCTGTCATGTCTTCAAGGTGCCTCTAAGGCATGACAGAGATCCCTAACACAGTTATTACCCTATAGGTCTACCTGCCATCCTCCTGCTTCTGCTCTTGCCTTTGCCCGTTCTGTTTCTCTTTAGCTTTCTTAGACAGCTGTACCACCAGTTTCTGGGTTGTGTGTGGCATGTCATACTGTTGTAAGTGCGTTAATTGTATTCTACTGTGTCCATTTAACACTTTATCCAGGAAAAAAGAAGTTATGTAGGATATAGCTTTTATTTCCCAGTTCTACCTTTCTGCTGCAGATGGTAAAACCACCAGCTTCGTGAAGGGAAGCATCCCTATGTGGATCTGGCATATAGCTTGGCATTGCATGGCACAGGGATGTGGTGGTTCCTCCTCGAGAAGGTCATGTAGCAGCAGGAAAGTCACCTGCTTCTTTTTCCCTCCATGCAAACATGCATAGTTTGTCTCCGTGCCGCCCATTTCTTTGTATGGTGGAGTGAGCAGCACTTCTTGTGTTGTACCCGGTGTGTGGGGAATGTGTCTGGCCTTTCCGCAGAGCTGCAGCCTGGCCTGCCCTGCTGGACAGTTGGCCTCCACAAAACCCATGCCCTTTGCTCTGCTGAAAAGCCCTCAAGAAACATGCCCACCTTGATGTAGGGCCTTCCTGAGGTCATGTTGGAAGTGAGGGGCTGTAAGAGGATGCCCCAAGGAGGGAAGGCAGCATATGCAGCTCTTGATCAGAAATCAGAGTGTGGCAGGATGCTGGAGCCTTTTGCAGGCTCTTTCTATGCAAGTCCAAATGTCAGATCACCAAGACCACTTAGGAAACTGCCTCAGGGTGTATTAAGGTGATTAAGGGGAAGTAACATAAGCCCTGATGTCTACTTCCCTCGAGCAGTTTCTTTTTCTGAGTCTCCCAGACCATGTTTGCCTCTGCACAATTTGGGAATCAAAACTCAACATCAGAGTCACACCAACTTGTAGGATTTACTTCTAAGACAGCAAGATGGTGAAGGTAGGTGGAGGAGACGATGTAGCCAGTCCCTGCAGAAGGAGGTCCATGATTTTCTGGCTGTGGATTTAACAAGCAATTATGCCATTCATTGTACCAAGCCTTAAATCAAGGCCCTAGAGGGTAAGAGGTTGACATTGTCTGACAAGACTGGACAGATCCGTGTCATTTGCTGCATCATCTGTCTGCCCTGATGTGTAGTTTCACCAGGAAATGTCTTGACCTCTAATATAGCCACTTGAAAGGACGTGCATGGTGGAATGGGCACGTCTTTAACGTGGAAATGAAAAGCCAATGTTGCAGGGAACAAAAACCTGCGTCTTCATTTCCTTAATTGGGATTTTTTACATGCAAGATGAGAGTGTTGGTAAACAGATGACATGCACAGAGGGCGTCTCTGGGCCTGGGGCATTCGAACTAGTATAAAAGGCAGCCCAACTCCAAGCTCAATCATCCACTCCTCTTGCCTTCTCCTCCTTGGTGAACAAGGTGAGCTGAGATCCCTCTGCCTCCCCTCTTCTTCCTTTGTCTCCTCTCCCTCCTGCTCTCTGGGCACTCCTCAGTGCTCCACAGCTGATGCCTTTTCCCTGGCTCTCCCTGTGCTCCGGCTGCTCCTCACACGCTGCCCGTGTTTTCCCTGCCCTCTCTTCCAGGTGCACCTCCATCCCGCAGACATGTCCTGCTTCGATCTGTGCCGTCCCTGCGGACCAACCCCCCTGGCCAACAGCTGCAACGAGCCCTGTGTGAGGCAGTGCCAGGACTCCCGCGTGGTCATCCAGCCCTCTCCCGTGGTGGTCACCCTGCCCGGCCCCATCCTCAGCTCCTTCCCGCAGAACCCCGCCGTGGGATCCAGC